TTTCCATTATGTACGAACATTATCAAGTCAATAGAAGTTAGAACAGTCACAGTAAATTTTCAGACTTTTCCGTATAAGTTTGAGTATTTCAGGATTTACACTTAAGGAGATATTAGGAGAGTGGATGCACTAGGGTTTTGTGCAACTCTGTTATTCCAAAACTCTATTATATTAGAGTTCATTTCGTGAATAAAAATATTATCTGCCAAAAATCCCAGGACTATATATATGAATCTTAGAAATATTATTTCATTATTTCCAATTCCAACTAGAGAAAAACCATTTTCTCTCTCACGGATCTTCGGGTTTTCATCCCAAATCATGAGTACCTCTCTCTAGTTGTATTATATAGCTTGTTAAGTGCTTAATAACATATAAATCATAACAAAACCGCAAGATTTGAGAGTTTACCGCCCAAGAACACCTTGGGGAGTAAACTCTTTTATAAAGGTAAAATGATGCCTAGTCCTTTCCCCGTGATATGTAACCATCTGAAGCTTGTATGTTAGTGCTTATAAGGCTAGAAATCACCCATGAACACCAAGAGTAAGGTGTTCACGACCCAAGAAGTTCTTGGACCGTGAACTCCAAACTCAAGGGCCAAAGAGTGCCTTAATCACTCCTAAAGCCTTGGAACAATAGCCTTGATTTACTCCTAGTTATTTAGGGACATTAAATCATCAAATGCCCATCCCAAAGAGAGATTACAGCCGTAATCTCTTATGGTTTTGGTCCTTGGGCCGTGAACATCAAAAGGGGGTACCAAAGTTTGCCTAAGGCCTTCATTAGCCTTAGATAATTGTCTAAAACCTATCCTAGATGAGTATAGGACTTGAAAACATAAAACATCCCCTTTCCATATGAGTTTACGATAGTAAACTCAAAAGGAATTGGCCTTGGGGCCGTACACTCCTCAAAGGAGTGTATAAGTACCCTAAACCCTTCCAAGAATTAATCCACCAAGTAGGAATGCTTCTAGGGATCATTTAGAACTTCAAAACACCAAATGACATTAAGCTTAGGAGTTCACGGCCGTAAACTCAAGGGTTTACGACCGTAAACTCCTTGTGTGAGGTTTATTGGAGAGTAAACTCATGTATGTGGTCCTTTGGAACCCTAAACTCACTAGCCGGGTCCTACAACAACTTAGATGAAATCCTTAGGACTAATAACACTTATTATAAGTGTTTAACATGTTCTAGGAGATCTAAACAGTTTCAATTAGTAGTTAAATCTAATTGGGTACACATATGTGTGATTATATGTTAACTAGGATCATAGCGTGTGTTCAAGACTTCACTTGACACCTAGCAATCCTACATCTTCAGTACATCCGTACCACTCACTACAGGTGAGTTCATACCCCTTAAACAATGGTTTAAATGTTTTTAAATGCCTTTATGGGGGGGGGGGGGAGGATATAAGTCAAATGTTTATAGTTATTACATCAATCACATGTGATTAATAACTACAAAACCAGTGATTTCCTTATTGTTCAAATTGTTTATCAAACTGTTTTGCTTCAAATTGTTTTACAAGTTCTTATACTTATTAAATACATTTGCTTAAACTACTGTTTTACTTATTATCAATTGCATGTCTATGTATGTATAGTTATATAAGAAATGTTTAAAGGACTTAGGAAGGCTATCCACCCTATTTCCTTTTCGCGCTTGAGATGTGGTCTGGTGGGATATTGGGTACCCGTCCGAAGGTCGTTTAAATTTTAGTTATATATAATGTGTACATATATAGTCATAAAAGGTCCTTCCAGTTCATTCAGTACCCTTGGGTAGCAAGGGTATACTTCCATGTTCATACGTACCAGTACATCGCTAGTAAGTTACCATAGGGGTAGCACAGGAGGATACTATTATTACTAGAACAATGAAACATACAATGAGTCAGTTCATTCATGAGTCAATACTTGCTAAATAGAGAGAGAACACTCATTACAGCTAGTACACACAGTACATTACTATACATGCTAGATAGAGAGAGAACACACATTACAGCTAGCACACACAGAACATTATAGTACATTACCATACTATTACATATATATGTTTACATGATTACGCTTACATGAGTACGTTTACATAGATACGTTTACATATACGATAATAGGATAGACATCATTAGGTGCTATAGCATAGAACGAGTTCAGGATCTAACTATACCGATGAATCATAACACATTGTGATATTTATATTAGGTATACATGTTCATAGTAATGTGGATGTTCACGGCGTGCAAATATGCAGGAGTCGTGTAAAGGTCCCAAAATCCCTTTGACCGGGGGGGGGGGGGGCGTCTAGCCTAGGATCTAGCCATCACATTAGGCCTTATCCCTCAAATAAGGCAATAGGAGTACAGAGGTAGTCACTTATTACAAATACTACAGTACTTATAAGAATTACCCTAGACTTAAGGTAATTAGTACGGTTGTAGTACGACATTCCACCATAGTACTATCTCATTTTTCCCATTAACATTCACTTCGTGAATATTCACACGATGCACGGTAATGTAGAATCTATATTTTTGGTTAATGATAGTCCGAATTAGGGAAAACACACACTCTACCAAGAGACATACACACAGACACTAGATGCCTTGGTAGAAGGCTACAGTTAGTAGGAAACATAGGGTTTTCTAGGATAGTTCAAACATTATACAAAACATTGTACAAAACATCTTACATAAACATTTTACAAACGTTTTCATACAAACTCAGACATTAATATACTTATGATCTCACCAACATTAAGCTGATACTCGCTTTCAAAATAACTTGTATTCTCAGGTCACCACTAGATAGTACAGGTGCCAGGCTTTTGAGAAGATGGAGTTCGTTCAAGACTCATCTTTTATTTTGATATGTATAATTTTTGGTGTCTATAACTTTGACAAAACACACATGTATGAAATTATATTATTAATGTAATAGATGATGTTGTTGCTTGTTTACTATTATTCATTGTTTGTGATACTGTACATGACGTCCTCCGCCCCTGAATGTTTCCGCCATTCATGGTTTTGAGGTGTGACAGAGCAGCTTCATCAAAACAGCTCCTCCTCCAACCAAGAGCAAAACGTGCATGGTTAACATCTTGTTATTACCTTGAAAACTTGATTCTTGAAAAGCTGATTAAATAAAAAAAATACAAGTGTGTGTGTGACTGTGTGGCACACATGGCCTGGAGTTGGTGTTTTTCGTTCAAAGCCTGTGGCATCCCGACCCAAAACTAAAAAAAAACTACATCAATTGTTAAATTAACTAATCAATTTAATCTATTGAACACTCTTGCCTAGTTGTGAACCAAATTAAACAAAGCAAAAAAGACATAAAATGCCCCACGCATTAAGTTTTTGGAGTTGAGGAATATTGCAAAATTATTTAAAAAAAGTCAATGTGTTGCCCAGGGAATTTAACGAATTTAAAGCATTAGTATCCAAACAATTCTTATCAAAATTTTTGAAATGTTGTAAACTTGTAATATAAATAAGTTGCTAAGAGATAAAATTATTACAAAAATATGAAGACAATATGGAGTAAAGGAAATCAATTGAGATAAAATTATCACAAAAATATGAAGACGATATGGAGTAAAGGAAATCAATTGAGCTAATTACTCATGCGTCGTAAAACAACATAAAATACAATAGAGTTTCTGCAATTCCAGATCCACAAACATCAAGGATAAAAAAAATGGTTGGCATTGTGATTTGGATTGTTCATCAAGATCTGAAGAAAAAAATAACAATATAAAACCAATATCAAATCGTCATCGATCTTGTAAATGCAAACTTAAAAGTTAAAGAGAATGAAATTAAGGCGAAATAATGGAAATTATCAACCTTCTATAACCAAACAAAATTGATTGAGTCAAATTTAGTAAAACCATATAAACCAATCAAATGTAAACGCAGACATATAAAATGTAATTATATGATCCAGTGAAACACCTAAAACCATATAATATGCAATTATATGATCCAATTAAGCTTATTAACACTTTAAACCATACAGATGTAAATGGGTTACCTGAGAATCGAGATCGAGATAGGGGAAGATCATGTCTTACGGTAGAGTGACAAATATTAATAAATCAAGGAAGATGACACGTGTCACAGTAGTATTCCGAACAATGATTCATATAAATTGCAAAGGTAAGAATCAATGGGTAACAAATCACCAAAAAGTGAGAATCATCAAATAAGCATCTCTTACGTACTCTACTTTGCTAATATTCATGAACAACAAATAAACCATAATTCAAATCATATTGAAAGCTTGAATTGAATAGAGCAGTTAACTTGCTAGAGTCGTAATTGCAATTTTCTTTCCTACAACCCTAATTGCATGAATCCACCCCTGAATTAGAACAATTCGGTCCTTGAGTTTCTCAATAAGACATTTGACTGTGTTCCACACTCGACCCATATCCATATTTCGTTGAAGGTCATTGACATGAAGATCCCCATAGTTGACGGAAAAGGATCACGATTGTCAATCTAAACACAAGCAACAACAGATGGGCGACAGTGGTGGCGGTGGCTGGAGGGTGATTTCGGGCTAATCTCTTGCGATGTAGCAGATATAGTGATGGTGGGGATTTGGTGGCGGAAAAAATCATCGTATGTCTTGAGAGAGAAAGAACCATTGAAGAAGAAGAGACGTCTTTATTTAGGTTTGGGAACTGATAATTTGATTGCGGATTTTAGGGGATTGAATCTGAATAATAGGAAACAATAGAAGATTGATTTTATGAAATTTGAATTTGAATAAGAAAATAGGAAAAAATAAAATTGTTGGGCTGGAAAAAAGAATAAAGACTAAATAATAAGATGTCACGTTGAAAAACATTGATTTAGAAGAGGATATGTGTCAATTTAGGAGTGTTTTATTAGAGAGGTAGAGGTACATAGATTCTCTATGGTTTACAACTAAACATAACCACTACTAGATAGTTTTGCCAAATATAACCATAATCGATGTACGGATTTATATTTCATTAGCATACAAAATCCTAAAGCATTATGAAAAAAAATACTCAACAAAGTACGTGTTGTTAATATAAAAACCAATTTATAATAAAAATTATACATGTATGGCTATCAATATCCGATAATTTCACCAAATCCTCCCTCCCCCAATTTCCGGGGTTTTCAGGAATTCACCTTTTTACCCTTCAAACACTCTACAATCTCATCCTAATCATATTCTAAAGCTCATCTTTCACCACATGATGCTCATCACTTGCCTCTTCTTTTAGATATTTGTTAATCAAAATCGCCAAATCTTTCACACTAGACTTTGTAGGCAGCTTCATCTGCACAAAACATCAACAAACTTTAGCCCAAAAGACAAGTTTTTCAAGACTAGAACTAGTGTCATTGAAGCAAATGACTTACGGGTTTTGACTTATTTGCCCCTGGGTAGAACAACAGTGTTGGATAATCATCCATTTGCAATCTTGGGTGTTCATTTACAGAGGCATCTATCTTTGCAAAAACAAGATTCTCCAATCCCTTAAAGTGTTTTGCCAGTTTCTCCACTTGTTTGCTTGTAGTTTCACATGTCAAACACCATGGTGTGTGTATCTTGAATATGATCAATATGGAAACATATTAATTGTATAAATGTGTCTTTGATAAAATTGTAGTATAAACAAAGAATGATGGTTTTAATATGTGTAATAAATGGGATACAGACCTCAAGAATGATGTTTTTGGAGCTGCTTAAAACCAAGTCTTCAAATGTCTTTCCAACAACTGTAAGAATGTCTGCATCTTTCTGTGATTTCACAATCAAGAATTCAAGATTGACAATTTTAGACAAAAGAATTCAATTATAAATTTATAATGGTGAAATGTGAGAAACCATAGGGGTGAAAAACGTAACTTATCCTAAATTTAATTTATATTAACAATGAGATAAAAAAAAAACCTCACATTATCTGGTATTGCTTGAGACTTGTAGAAAGGAGGCAGAATACCCTTAAAAAGCCCTGAGCAAAACTCCTACAGAAAAAAAAAAATAATGATAAGAAAAAAATAATATAATAATCAATATTCACATATGCATAGAAGTAACATCAAGAAATCAAAGAAATTTGATTGAATTGCTACTTCTATTTTTGCGGGTGTTGGATCCGACTCTAACAAATACTTGGCACCAGTTTTGTAATCAAAAGCCGTTACCTATCAAACACATTTTAAAAAAAAACATAATATCATTAGCAAAATCTTGAAATAATTTGGAGAAAAAAAATGTTAAATTGGTGTTGAAATTGTTCATAATGAAACTAACAAGAGTGTCTTCTGAATCTTCAAGCCCAAATAAAGTTAAGAAAGGTTTTGCAAGATTCTCATCTTTGATGTCTACAAACACAAACATTATCTGCATCCACAAGATGAATTTACTTTTAATTTTTACTCTTAATAAGGACATTGTAGTTTGAAAAATCCACCAAATGTCAACAGTTAAAATTGCTTTGTATTTGGATAAAACTGATTTTTTTTAAAAATAATTTGTAATGTGTTAACCTTTGATTTGAACTTCCTTGCAGCATCTTGAAATGGCTCTAGTAATTTCTTGAATTCATCAGCTTCTGCAAAGACATAAACCTGGAAAATATAATTTTAAGCCCAATTTTGAATAATCAGTTTCAAAACATTCAAAAATGTCAAAAGAACACAAAAAAGTTTATAACCTGTAGTTTATCGCTGGAGTAAACTTTGACAGAATTCAATTCTGATAAAAATGTGACCAATGGGAACTTATTATCATTCACAAATTGCAGAATCTTGTCTTTCTCGAAATCACCTTCTGCAATACCAAGTTTATATAAATGGTGTTTTTATAAAATATAAACAAAAAAGAAACATACATCACGTTTATCAAATCTTTAGCTTACCATATGAAGTGTATCTTTCTGGTTCACTTTTAACAATTCCGAGAAACAGATTATCAGATTTAAGATCTGGATATAAAATATTGGCAATTTGGTGGCTATTTGTCTCGACAAATTGGATATCGTTATCAGTAGTTGACGCTTTTACGAATTCATCATGATCTGATCCCTGAAAAATTTAGTAAACAAGAAGACATGATCGATTTGTGTTTCGTTTCTGAGTGATTAAGAAACAAGAACACCAAAACACAAAAAACACATACCTCGAATTTAGCGAATAAAGCAACTGCAAATATGGAATGTTTCTTAACAAATTCGTTTGCTTCATCGATAGAGTTGATTCTGATAATGGGCGTACCCGTCTTCTTCCTAACCCAGATCACAATTTCTTCCCTAATTCACAACAGAATTTCTTAATTACAGTCAACGGGTACCAATATATCGTAAAAGAAACCGAGAATTGAGAAGAAATCTTACGTGGAAAATCCACCGGTGTAAGGTTGAGAAGTGCCATTGACGAAGAGAAGCAAAGTCGGATACCCTTTGATCTCAAGATTCGAAGCTACTTTCGGGTACCTCTCAGCATCAATTTTCGCCATTAAAACAGGGCTCTTTAATTCATTTAAAGAACTAGCAGCTTCCGCAAACCTAGGCATGAGTTCAGCACTTCTTACACACCATGGAGCATAACCCAGAACCAAAACGTACTCATTTCCATCAATAGCCCTTTGAGTATTATCATTGTTGAGTTCAAGAACTATTCGTTGGGCCTTAGTCAACACCTCCGCCTCAGATGACGGTTTAGGGTGATGGGTTCCACCGCCGCTTTCTTCTTCTGCTTCGTCTAATGCTATAAGTTCCTCAATGTCATCAGATTCTTCACTGGCAGACACGCTAATCAAAAAACTGAATGAAAGAAGAAGAAGTATTGCAAGATATATGAATCTAGAAGGGGGTTTTGGTGCAGACATGATCGAGATTTGTGGGGTTGGGAGAATTTGCAAACAGAAGCAATGTGAATTGTGATCGAGATCTGTATTGATCTATAACTGGGTCGATCAAGAATCAAGATTTTGTATTGAGGTTTAGTAAGGGTTCTTTGGAGGGAGAGATTTGTTTATACTTGAAAGATCCTGTGTGAAACTGAAACAAAAGAGTGATATAACTCAAAAAAGACGACGGAGTGGGAAGCAACACTGCTTGTGCTTTTAATCTTTTATCTTCCCGTGCGACGTGCAGTGACTAACGGGATTCAAGTTTGGACTGTCCCCCTTTTTTCTTTTTGGTTGCGTTAAACTAGTGGAAGAGAGGTGGAAAACATATAAAATAAATGATTTTTTATAATACTAATAATAATAATTAGGTGGGGAACCCTACATTACGGAGATTGGATATGCTAATTTTTCTGTTGTTTGTTCTTTTTAAATGTTATTTGATCAACTATTTGTTTATAGTTTGAGTATTGTTATGGGATACTAATATTGTTTCGCCATGGATAATTTTTTTGTTGTCGGATAAGCTATTTATCGAAATATATATATTTCATGAGTTTATCATTTGGTTGATGGGATGGAACTGCAGAGCTGGATTCCACAGATCAAATACTCCATGGGTTTTTCCTCATTAAGTGTTGTTTAAGAGCAAAGTCACCACAACAACAAAAAAAAAACAAAAACAAAAACAAAAAAAACAAAACAAAAAAGAATCAATATGTTGATCAGTGTGTGTTACAGTATGCTAATAAGTTCAATCTTCGGCTTTGTTATATTCCATAAGCCTTGAGAAAATAAAAGAAAAAAAAACATATCAAAACTTTGAAAAACAAATAAATACAGTAAAGAAATGAAGCCTAATAGTTAATCATACCACATTTTGAACATCTATAGTTTTTGTAGTTGCGTTCTTCCTCAAAATTCTGTTCCGATATATTTAGTTTCCTGTCCATCTTTCCATTATTTGCTAACCCTGTGATGATAGAATTTTGTGTCTTGATGTTCTTTTTTGGCATTGATCCGAACTACTCCACAACAGATTGCCAAATCCAGTTACCCTCGCCATGAAATCAAACGCTCATACAGAAGATTATGAATCATAAAAGCTCACCACTTGAGTTCTACAATCAACTAAAGATTATGATGCTCCATTTGTGCAATGTTCGCTTCAAATGGTCATTTGAATGAATTGGTCAATAAGGGGTGAAACTCATTTGTATCATACCCAACCTTAGCCTTCAAATGCTCAACAACTTCTTGATCTTTAGGGTCAAGCTTCACTTTGACTGGTAATCCAGGCAAATCTGGAATCATCCCCTGATCACTGCTAAACCTGCTAAACCACCATCAATTATCAGTTCAGAGTCTATCTAAAAGACAAATAAAATTTACACCAAGAGAATAATCAGAAAAGTAATTCACATGATATACCTTAGCCTTGATTGGATCGTATGTCCACAAGAAGGGCAAAGACACTACAATATGAAAATGAGTATTGAGTAATGAAACAATGAAAGTGGAGAAGTTGATTATAAAAGTATACCTGTTTAGCATTGAAGGGAGGAAACCTCTCCTATAGAACATAGTAACACAATTACAACCGTCTTATCCCCTTTACTACTTCTAACGACTGCATCCATCAACCCATGCTTTCTTGTAGAAATAAACATGCATGCACATTCAGATTCAGTCAGCAAATAATCCAGTAATTCTTACCATATCATTATCTATCTACCTGCATGTAAGGTAAGCATGAGAAGGAAGATACATATGAAAAATGGTTGATGTCCATTCACGTGCTTCTTGAGCAATATTGAACCCACCAACCGACTTTCCTGCTTCAAGAGCATCCCGAGTTCCAGCATCCATAAGCCCTGGTCCACCCCTAACCATGAAGTGCATCCCAACAGCTTTGCAACCTTTACCGAAACGAAAACTTTCATTCTTTTGAAACACAATACAAAATATAAATATGGACTTGCCTATGTTGCCAATTCCTGTGTTTGGATATAATGCTCATATTTAAGAAATGGTATGAAAACTATAAGATTGCTTTTCTACACGTTAAGCAATGTGATGAGATATAAAAAATCTTTGATCGATTAGATCTTTGCAACAGGTAGATAATGAAAGTAAAACAATGAAACAATACTCAAGAATGGATTTGAATGAGTCGAATGATTAGAACGTTCAATCCTCAGCAGAGCTCGATAAAGAACTTCCGCTGTAGAGGATTCTAGGGTTACAAAAGAGATCTTCTTAATTACACGTAAAACAAACGATCTATCAGTTACCAAAAAGATGCATGCAAGCATCTATTAATACACAAACCCTAGTAAAACAAGATACGGATGGACATGCCCATGCCGTATACAAGATGGGCTAGGAAGCGAGCCCAAGACGCAACATCAAGTACCCAACAATCTCCCCCTTTGCGTCAATTGGGGCGAGACCTCACTCCAGCTTGCTTACCCCCGCGGTACTGGCTTTCTTTACAGTCTTGAACAGGCAGGGGATGATAGCAAGAAGTGTTTGTTGGAAGTGAATGTACCAATTGATCATATCGTTGAAGTACTTTTTATCACTTTCCGAGTTCAGTTTGCACCGATTGATGATACCCAGAACATGCTCCAGGCAGGTAGTGGTGTAAAGATGTTTGTCAGCCAAAGCAAATAAGCATTTCTGACCTTCTGCCCTGGTGAACATGACTGAGTTCTGTTTCTGATCAATCTTTCCCATATTCATTCGGTTTATATCGCTTGCAGAACCGACTGGAGTGATGATGGGCTTCTTCCTGAGAACATTAGCAACCTCTTGATCCAGCTTAGCCACCTCCAAAATATAGCAGACTAACATTCTCTTGAAATGGTCTATGATCGGACCATATTTTGCTTCATTGACAAGAAGACTGTTGTGCAAGACAATCTAATCATGAGGGTTTAAGTTGGGAAGATCAGCCAGAGAGATGGAATGCTCGGATTTGTCAGATCCCCTCAAGACCTTGAATCTAATATTGACGAAGTTGCCTTCATGAACAGGTTTGAGAACCCGAACGTTGGTTATCTTCTGTGCGCTCCATGTCTGATACTGAGGTTGAACGGTCCTCTGATAATAGTCTACAAGCTCCCTATCAACCTTTGGGTGAGGATGGGGAACTTCAGCTATATGAGCGAATGCATGGAAGATAAAGGCTTTTCGGGTCAGGGGCATGTCGAACTGGGAATCGACCGAATTGACATGGTCTAAGGAGATCACCGGTTCTAACCAAAGAGTGCAGGGGGAATCAATGGCTTCTTTGATAAGCACTTCGAGAGTCCAAGGAGGAAATAAAGTTTTTCTGCTTTCAAGGAGATCATGAGCCTCCTTTATCTTCCTCTCCTTGGCCTCGGCTTCCCTGACGATGCGAGCGTTTTCATCCAGCTCCTTCTCTCTGGTCTGTTTCCTCACTAAGCTGACAATGGGTTCTTGATCATCACTTTCATCACTATCGTCAACAATTTGTTTGGCTTTGCTTTGAGCACTCAAACCTGATGCAGGAACAGGTGTTGGTTTGGGTGCTTTCGGAGGGACAAGTGATGAAAATGGAAGTGATTGAGCTTTGGAACTCGGAGGGGGTTTCGATTGAGCTGTGGGCTTCTTTTCTCCCCCTTGTTTCGGATGGTCCTCCTGCTCATGAATGCCTTCAATACGGCTAAGCAGGGAAAGAGCAGGAGCGAGCTTCTATGCAAGAGTACGCCTCACCGAATAGTTAAGAATCAGATCATGGGCTTCGATGATATTAGACAAAGCTCCGTGGACATCTGAAACACAACTCCTGACCACAGCTTTCTCAGACCGAAGAGAATCGATCTCCTTCTCGGCTTGGGAGAGCTGATGAGTTGCTAGAGTAAGCTCGGAAGACTTTCGAGCAAGCTCGTCCTTTGTGGTGGATTCGGCGACAAGAGTGGCTTGAAAGGAAAGAAGACGATCTGCAACCGAAGATTAAAAAGATTGATTGTCTTCTTTGAGTTTCTGGCGGAAGCTGACAAATTGGTCTTTTTCGGTTTCGAAAGAATGGACCAACTTCTCCACAATGGTGCGAATCTTCTTGGTGTTTGTTTCTGATGCTGCATGCAAAGACTCCAGCCAGATCTGGGCGTCTTGAAATAGTTTTTCGACTTTTTTGGTCGCAACAGCACTAGCCTTTGTCGATTTATCAATAGCAGCAGCAGCTGAGCTGACGGAGGCTTCGTGTGCTTTGGAGAGAGATTCCACCATTCCCTAAATGGCAGCCTCCGTAAAGTGAGATGTTGATGAAGAGGAAGAAGCCACAAGATTGTCAATCTTCTCGTGGAGTTCCTTGATGTGCTTTTTAGTAACTGGAGCATCATCATCATCATCACTTTAAAGTTGGTAGGGGTTGTAGTAGATGGAATCAAAAACCGTATCCTCCCCTCCCAAAAAGGTTTCGGTTTCAGCAGATGGAGTGGGAGATAAGGGTGCGGTGGGTGGTTCGGTAGTGGTAGTGGGTTCGGGAACGGAAGTGGGTTTAGGTTGTGAAGATTGAACCCCCGTATCAGATACGTTGGTTGGAACCTCACTGGTGGTAGTTTTGGTGGCTTCTATGAAGAGTGGTGGGGGAATGGAAGTTGTTGTGGTTGAAAGAGTAGTAGAGGTAGTTATGGGGGGAATAGAAATAGGGTTAGATATGGAGGGAATGGAAATGGAGGAGGTTATGATGGGAATGGAAGAGGTTATGGTGGGAATGGAAGAGGTTATGGTGGGAATGGAAGAGGTGGATATAGGAGAAGGGGAAGGAGGTTTTGATGAAACAGGTACCTCATGAGCCGGCGAGTGAGGAGGAGTTTCGCCTCTAGCCGACTCATCTGAGTCAGAATGGTTATCTTCTGAATCACTGGATGAAGAAGAGAGAATAAGTTTCCTCTTCGGCTGTACTTTCTTCTTCTTCGCTAGGGGGGGGGGGAGATCTATCTTTGAGGGTTTTCGCTTCTTAGGAAAAGGACCCTTTGCCCCCTTTGCTGCTTTCTTGATCTTCCCTTTCTCGGGTTTCTTCCCTCTAGCAGCTGGTTTATCTGCATCATTGATGGACTGAACCATTTCTGCAGAAAGTTCCTGTGGACCCGAAGGACGAAAGTCCTTGTAGGCCTTCATTATAATGCTCTCTTTGGACACCCCAGCGGACATAGAATCCGGAATGGACCTGACGAAGGAAAACTTGGTCGGATCGGTAACAATGATCTTGGTGGTGTGGAAGACACTGATGGAGGAGAGAAGGGAACCTGCAACTGTTGGAACATGAAGTTTATCCATTGCCCACTTGGTGATTAGCGTCCAAAATCTGGCGTAGGACACTTCAGTGTGGCGAGAGGAGGAGGCTAGGCTCTGAATGAGTTGTTGCCAGAGAACCGAGCCGTAGTCGAGGTTGATGCCATGATATAGACCATAGAGAATGGTCATGAACAACTTGCTGGCCCCATCAAAAACCAGAACTGTGCTCAGAGAGCCCTTTGAACAGAATGGTGAAGAAACCATTCCATTGAGGTGGAAGACATGACTTCTTGAACTTAGTGACCGTCGCGAGAATCTCCGTGTAGCCCATGTTTTAGAACATCGAAAATAACCGTCCTACTGTGATGGAATCGGGATTAACCCTAGATTCATTGGCTTTAAACCCTAGGAGCCAACAGAATCGTTGCTTGGAGATGGAGGTCTTGTGAGAAAGAAGGTCAAAGAAGATTCGATCCACTGATCTATCATAATGGGCAGTGGAGAAGACCTGGGAAAGGCATTCCATGGGCACAATCTCGACCTTGGAAAGAGCTAGCACCAATGGAGAGTATTTGAGACACTCCACCATGGGATACATATAATTCTCGTAAGCTTTAGGGTTTAAATCGATCACCAGACTTTGTTGAGCGCGGATGGGAAGAATGTTGGTGTCATCACCTCACTATTGAAGCCGTTACTCTGTCGGCTGAGTCAACATCTTATCTGTTAAATAGCTGTCATCCAAACACAAGATTATAATGGAACCGAACGAGATTTTTGGAAAATCAAAGATTTTTGTGCATAGAGTGTGAAAAATAAGGAGATAAAGCGAGATATATGTGGGAATTTGTGATGTCAATATAGACACAAAACAGTTGATCCCGGGCACAAATCACTTTCTTCAAGGTGAAGAGAGACCTTAAAGTGTCTGTATGGATTCCCGTTGAATTACGATCAATCACTTTCTAAGAAGTGTTGAAAGGAATCTTTTTATAAGGCTTAAAAGGGTGGCTTTCGCTTTAGTTTAGAATCCCGGACTTTGACATAAGATCGAGACTAAATAATGTACCTATGAGATCGATGTGGTCTGTTGAACAAGTAGGCTGGATTATGTATATAGTGACTTATTGAAGATGTGTGATGGTGAAATCTCAAAAAAAAAATTAAACTGGATTCTAAGGGGAAGAAATGCTATGGTAAATAACAATTTCATAAGAATCTCACAACAAAAAGAGATTTCATGTTTACCGTCAATTCATGTTAGGTATTGAATTTTAGGTTTCACTAAGCACGTAGTGACACGAGGCTTATATCATAAACACAGAGATTGTGTAACCATAAACCTCAGTGGTTAATTCTGAGAGTCTCAAGGGTTACGCGATGAGACCGAAATATGATGGAGAAAAATATTGAGGTGGTGAAGAGAAACTATAGTACCTCTACTGAAGATAGTGACCAAGTAGTAAACTCTTAACCCATATGAGAAAAGAGTAAGGTAGCTCAGGATTAGAATAAATGGAGCAGCCTTATTGGGAAGACAAGGTTTGTATATACCTAGTCATTAAGGCTTTTATTCAAAATCAGTTGAGGCTTTGGACAACATGCAACATCATGCTTCTAGGGAC